CCCACCAGTCCCCACATGTACATAGGGACATCGAGTGTGTCCTCCCTGACATGGCAGCATACAAGGACAGCTCCTGTCCCCACACTGGGTCACCCCATGTCATATCAAACCACCCCCCCAGCCATGGTAACCCCCCCCATTGCCTCCCCACCCCAGTGACACCCTCAGCCTTTGCTGACACTCTGTGGTGTCCCCCCACCTTGGTGACATCTCCTCGTGCCTGGGCACAGCCCCTTTGTCACTAAATAAATTATGTATGAGCCAAGTGCTGTGTCACTCTCTGTCACAGTGCCTGGGATGGGGGGACAGTAGCTGGCCCTGCACACAGGGGTGACAGGGACAGCTGCAGGGCAGGGTCTAGGCACCAAGTGACATCCCCAACAGACCCACAGCCATGAGGGCTCCAAACCTTAAAAATCAGGGACCAAAACCCTCAGTGTGTGCTACAAAGTACTGGGGAAGACCCGGAACATGGATTTTCCACTGGAGTTGAGAAGTTCTCCCCAGACAGGACATTCCTGTCTCAAGGAACCAGTGCAAAGAGAACCTAAAGGGACAAACCCCAAACCCTTGATTTCTCTAACAGAAGGCTGAGAGGAGTCCAGAGCAAGAGATTGAACTCGCTTTATTCAACAGCATTTGGCCAGGTCAGCAGCTTTTGACTAAAGGTCACATGGATACAGACCTGGATCCACAGGGCTGTCATGGAAGCGCAGGTACCTCATGGAAACAGATGCCACAATACAAACATGGACCCCAGAGCAGCCGCGGAAGCACAGACACCCCATGGCTAGAGACACCAATGTATTTAAATATAAAATCCCACATGGTTTTGAGTACATTTGCTGGCAAACAGTTCATTAGCTGCAGGCACACAAACAGGCTGATGTCCACTCACACAGGGTGGGTTTGACAGGACTGGGCTGGGTGCAGAAGGAATGACTAAACCACCAAGTGCTCCTGGAATGGGAATGCTGAGCTGGAATTTTGGTTGGATGCAATTGGGTTGGTAAGAGTCCATTTGATAGCAACTGAACAGGAAGTGCTAAACAGGCCAAGACACACAACCAGCTGAGGCTGAACAGCCAAAGGGGACGAGAGGTTAAACACAGCCTCTCAATCCCATATAGTCACAGAGATTGAATTTCAATGACAGAAACAAAACTTCACCACAGTCTTTGCACAGTTTCTCCTAACAAGAAACAGAGCCAACTTCATGGCACTCAAATGTCCCTGGGGACACCCAAGGTCACAAAGGAAGGTCAGTGAGACCTCAGCCTCGGCCTGGTTGTTGGCACAACCACACAGGTGGGAAACAGCAGTGAATCCCTTTGGGATTGCAAGAGATGAAAAGCACATCTGGGAACACCTTCCTGAGAAGAAGACCAGTGGAGCTGGACTGTGCCCAGGTGTGCACAGCGGTCCCTGGCTGTCACTGGCCTCGATGCCATCATGGACACAGCTGGTGACAGGCACTGCCAGGCCTGCTCAGTGCAGAGGGGGATCTCACAGCTTCAGGTGACACTCCTTACCCCCTAAAGGTCCAAGTCCAAGCTGAGGGTACCAGAGAGGCACTCCTGGGGCAGCATCTTGTAGCTGGACCTGACAGAAACCAGCGCCTGGGAAGAGCTGCTGCTTTTTCAATACCAAAACCTAAATATTTACAGAGAACAGTGACCCCATCCTCACTTGGAGACAGGAACACAACCCTGTGCTCACCTCAGGGCTTCTTGAACAGCCCCAGGGCTGGCCTGGCCACCATGGTGGGTGGGGAGTGCCACACGGCTGAGCTGGTGCGCTTGAAGTAGCGTGGCTTGTTCTTGTAGAAGATGTCCTCCAGCTTGGGGATGGGGATGGCCCCGAACAGCGCGTCCACATCAGGGGGGTTGTAGTACTGCCGGATCACAGCCTGGCTGAGCTGATTCCCTGGGGGAACAGACAAGGATTGTGTTAGTTTTGTGAACTGGAATTGCAGTGTAGGCCGTTTGTGTGGTGTGTCCCTGCTCTGCTTGTCTATCATCACCTCAGGCAGCTTAGCATTCCAGCCATAGAGTCATGGAATAGTTTGGGTTGGAAGGGACCTTAAAGCCCATCCACTTCCAGCCCTTGCCATGGGCAGGCACACCTTCCTACAAGCCTTGTCCAACCTGGCCTTGGACACAGAACTATTCACTCCAAGCTGGAGTGCTCCTACAGCAGGTAGGAGGAACTGGTCAAAATCCCACACCAGGTCCCACAGCCCATGGGAGTGTTGGGGGTCCCAGACACTGTCCCCTTCCCCACACACACCGGAGGCCCAGGCAGGGACAGGCTTGCGCGGTTGGCTCTCGTCGTCCGTCGAGTCGTCACTGTTCAGGTCCATCCCATAGTCATTTGAGTTTGCCAAGGGGGCCTTGGGATCTTTCCTGCTCTGAGGAGTCATCTGATACGAGTTGCAAGCAGGGGAATTCTAAAGGCAAAGACATTCCACAGGTCTTAGATGCAGCAGGACTGGCTCATCCCTCACTTCCTGCTCTGTCACCTCACAACAAACCCTGAGTGTGGCAGCTCTCAAGTTTGGACCCAAGAACTTGAAGTCTAAAAGGTGTGACCCAGCTATGACTATGTATGACCTTCTCCTGTTTAATTAGGCTAATTAATTGGTCACATATGGCAAGCACACAGCAATAGATGGATCTAATGGATCTATTGGAGGAGCAGCTCCTCAAGCAAAGGTTAAACAGAGGCTTTATGTCTCTGGAGCAAAGTCACTTGCTCTAAAGACTCTGCAGCCCAACTTCTGGGCTTGATGACTGATGTAAAATTGATAATTGTCATGCAGAGACCAGCCAAATTCAGCTCACACTGATGGGAGCAGCACAACTGGGAAGACACAAGAAGGGGGGAAAACCTACAACTGCAAATTTTAGGTATTTCAACCAAAAATTTGCATTTGAAATTTGATTTGCAATCATGAAACACATCTCTGGAGAGTTGCACCCAGTTGTTCTTCCCCACCAGACTTCCTTCTCAGCTTTGTGTCCAGTGGCATTAACTCCCACGCACTGGTTCTGCACTTAATGATTAAGATATGGAGCTTTGCAAGGAGACAGATCCATGTATGCTGTCAATGTTCAGGACATGAACATTCACCTGCAGGTTTCTCCCGTTCCAAAACCATTGCACGCGATTCCAAACACCATTCCACAGGCTCTGCTGCCCTCTTGTGGCTGTTCCCGAATTTGACCCTAAATAACTATTTCAGCACTTCTTGTGCCCCGGGGGCCCTTCCAGTATTTGAGGTGCTTGGAGAGGCCAAGACAGCTCCAACAGCCACTGCCTTATGGAACCAGAAACCTTGGCTAGTGCCTGCTGCTTCCCTTCCCTCTGTTGCTGAAATAACACTCACTGAGTCAACCCCAGCTAACCACGATGTACAGAATCCCTTCAGCACTGGAAGAAAACAGCAGAGGGTGGAAGTGCCTGAGGCAGGAGCAGGTCAGTGCTGGGACCAAAGTTCCCTGCTGTCACCTCTAAGGACCTGCCCGGAGTTACCTCCTTGTTGTTCTGGAGTGGTGCCCGGGCGCTGTCTTTGGCCTTTTGTTCCTCTGACAATTTCTTCTGCTCTTCCTCCTGCCTCTTCCTCTCTGCCAGCATCTGCTGCTCCTGCTGCCAAGGACACCCACGGGATTACCCTTAGGGACTAGCTGACAATCCTGGCATCCATCTTTGTGACAAGCAAAATACCCAAGCACCTAATTGCAACTCTGTTCCGGTGCTGCTGAGGAGCACTTGGAACACGAAATAGCTCCCTCAGAGGGGCACAAACCCACTGACCCCTGTGCTGGAGCATCAGCTGCCTTCCCTGACAAAGGCAGGGCCCTCCTGCCTTGAAAAACTTGCTGCTGACTTTATCTTCAGGTTCTAAAAGCCAGAAATCAACTGAGCATCTGCAGGAGAAGTCCGAGCTACTGATCTTGGCCTCTTTCTAGACTAATAAACAGTATTTTTAGAGTTGCCCCACTGGATTGTAACCATCCCAAACTTCCAGCTCAGAAGTGTCACCAGTGGCTCCCCACAGTGTCCCAGATGAGCTGTTGTCACAGCAGCTTCTGGAGTCAGACCACGTGGTTCTACCCTGCAAAGTCCAGCCCTTACCTCTTTCTTCTCCATCTCCCTGCGGAGCCGCTCCTGTGCCTCCTTCTGCAGGCGGGCAGCCTTCTCCTGCTGCTCCCGGAGCCTGGGAACCACAGCACAGCTCTTCACTTCCAGAACCATGCCAGGGCTCCCCTGGAGGCTGCCTGCAGCAACCCCCCTTCTCCCACAGCTTCTCAGGCAGCCCCTACCCCACTCCCAACACCCTGAGCCCAGAATTCCTCCTTGGCAGCTCAGCACTCACGATGGGCCGGAGCTGTGCTGCTCCAGCCTTCCACACTGCTGCCCTGTGTTCTGGCTGTGTTTCAATCCTAGCATGGAATCTGGTACAGAAATGGGGATTGAGCCTTACTTTTCTGCCCGGATGCGCTCCTGCTCCCTCTTCCTCTCCAGCTCCCTCTCTGCAGCCAGCTGTCTCTCCCGCTCCTGTTCCGCCTGCCGCTGCTCAGCCATCCTCCGGGCACGCTCCTGCTCCTCTTCCCTCCTCTTCTGCATCAGCTCCCTGTGCCGACGGTCCTCCTCCTCCTCCTGTAAACCCAGGCAGGCAATTACCTCACATTGTACAGGAAAAAAGCACCAGAAACCCCTCATTTGACTCCAGAAACACAGTGAAGAAACAACTCAGGGGTAAGCTCCCAGTGCCCAAGACAGGTGGATCCCCTCTCTGGTTCTGCCTGTGGGACAGGAGTGGCCCCCACATACCTGCTGCAGAGCTCTTTGTCTCCTGGCCTCCTCCTCCTGCCTGCGCCGAGCCTCTGCTTCTTCCATCTTCCTGGCAGCTGCTTTCTTCCTGATCCTTTCCTCTGCCAGTCTTTCTTCCCGTACCTGGGACACACAGAGCCAAGTGCCAGGTGGGACAGCACAGCAGGACATCTCACAGACACAGAGCTCCCACCCACTCACCAGGCAAACCCTCCCTTTTAACCTCAGGAATCAAGGGAGCCTGTGCTTTGTTTCAGGAGGGCCATATTTAGGGCAATAACCTTGTTTTACATCCCCCAGGAAGAGCTGACCCATCCTGGTGTTTACACTTTCAGTCCCACAAAGCCACTGGAATGTATCCTCAGAGCCATGCAATCAGACAGGCACCTGGGGATAATTGAAGCAGACAAATGACCACTATGGCCACTGTACAAATTGCCTGGACGTCTGGCATCCAAGGAAGGATGTTTGCTTTGCCCTCTCCAGCTATTACTTGGATGGGAGAAGCAGCAGATAAAGCTTTGGGACCATTAGGCTGCCTTTATCTACTGCAAGTCCTTCTCCCATCTTCCAGAGCATTAAAAAAGCCCATTTAGATCCATGATCCTAGAAGACCAGGGGGTTCAGCTGCCATTTCCTGTCACCAGAGAAAGGCAATCCCAAGGCTCTGCAAAGCTGGACTCTGCAAAGTTAATGGCTAGACTTGATGGAATAGAATAGATAGACTTGCTGACCTTAGAGTTATCCTCTAACCTTGATGATTCTAAGTTCTTTATTCAACTGTTCTCTGGTTCAGTCTCTAGATTCAAAGCAGCCTCCATTCCCCTCTTTGCAGAAAGCACACTTGTGTGGCATCAACCACCTCAATGACTCTGAATTCTCTGCAAGGGCCATACCTTCTCAGTCTTCTCATCAAACAGAGCTATCTTCTGTTCTATCTTCCTCTTCCGTGCCTCCTCGATCTGCTCTGCACGCTCCCGGGCCTGCAGCACCTTGCGCAGGCGCTCCTCACGCTTCCTGAGGACACAGCCCTGCTCACTGCCATGGTCCAGCTCAGCACAAGGCCAAAACACACAGCAGGAACAGCCCAAATTCCCCAACTATTTAAGCACCAGCCACATTTAAGCTCCAACAAAAAGCACAACCACAGCCACTCACAGCTTCGCCTCTTCAAGTCGCCGTTTCTTCTCATCCTCCAGCTTTTGCCTTCGCATCTCTTCAGCCTCTTGCTTCTTTCGCAAGGTCTCCAGCTTCTGCCTCTCCTTTTCCTGAGGGGAGTGAAATGTGGTTATACCACCTGCCAGGGCTCCTTCCTACCTCACTTGCTCTGGGGGTGAGGAGCAAGGAGCTGCAGGCAGGACTATGGGATGGTGACAGCCCTGGAGCAGAGCTTTGGTCATGGATGTTTGGGGATAGATGCAAGGAGAACCAGGCAGAGAAGTCTGGCAGCCCAGAGAGTTTCCACAGGGATTGCAGGCAGTCAGCCCTGTGCTTTCCCTTGGTGCAAAGGAGCACAAAGCACTGCTAATGCCTGGCACTGCTTCCGCTTCCTGCGGCAAGCGTGGGCACAGATGGTGCTCCAGAAAACACCTGGAGCTCCCAGTGGAGCCTTTGCCTCCCACCAAGCTCTATCTGGTGGAGACCCACCACCACTCCAGAGAGCTCCCAGCTTGCTCTGGCACACAGCCAGCCAGTAACAGGGGCTTTTTCCTTGTTTCCCTGACCCAGCACACTGTCAGGTGGGAGAGTGAGATCGACATAGCAAATGGGTTAACAGCAACTCCAGGCCTGGTCTGAGCACAAACCCACAGATCAGCACAGGGAATATCCAAGGGATTCCCTTGCACTGGGCTCTGTGTTGTAAAAGCTTGGTGCTGCCAGCATCCAAACCGGTTAATGTAAAACTAATGATTACATCTCTCATTGCTCTGCTGCTATTGCGTTACGTTTAGCTCCCACACGGAGAAAGTCCCGAGGGGAAGCTGCCTGTACTGGAATAAAACCTAAAATATAACATTCCATGAACTGACAGCAGCAGAGGAAGAACTCCCTAGCCACAAGACTCTTTTCTCATCGCATTAACTCCTTTGTAGCACTGACACCAACATCGGCAGAAGCCCAGCTGATGGAGCTGGAACCTTTCTCTGCCTCCCAACGGCCTTCCCTGACCTGCTGGAGCACAGCCAGGCTCTGAGCAGCACAGCCTGGCAGCTCTAGGAAGCTCTGCTATCAGGTTTATGGATGTAGAAACAGCAGTTCTTGCATGCTGCCCTCCTCTCCCTCTCTCCCAGCTTTCCTGCAAGGGAAAAGCAGCCTCAGAGCTCCTACTGTGCAGGTGAGTTACGTATCAGGAGTATGGACACTCCCTGCTCAGCACATTTCTTCCAGCACAGCCCTGGGAGCATCCAGGAAGTTACACCCTTGTCCAGAACCAGCTCTGACATCCCACCCTCCAAACTGCCCCTGCCTAGGGGGCTTGAAACCTCCCCGGCCTGCAGCCAGCCAACGGGTGCTGCTTGGATCCATCAGTGATACCGATGCCTGCTCCAGCTGGACACCAGCACACATGTGACCAACCCCAGAGCCAGGACAGCCTCATGCTTCCTCCTGCCTTAAAGGCCTGAAAAACCTCAGGAGTTTGGACTTAAGAGGTATTTGTTCCATCTCACTCATGAGAGAAGCCCTAGGATGTGTAGGCTTCAGTTATAAATATACCTCAACATTCACGAGTCCCTTAAGCTTTGTCTCCCAGGTTCCACCCCTGACTGCTACTTGCCAATCCCTTGCCATTCCCAGGGGAATGCTGCAGGAATAAAGCTTAGAGTCCAAATTGGAACTCTTCAGGAAGCTGACTAACCCCAATTTCATTTATGAGTGTAGACACTTAAAAGTGACTTTTTAGTTCCTTTCAGGTCTGTGCTTTACCTCCTGTTAAACTCTGCTTCCAGCAGTCTCCTCTTACCTTGGGATCAGGATGGAGAGGGGTGTTATGCTTGATGAAGGACTTGATGACTCCATTTCTCCCCACAGAGCTTGGTGTCATGAGCAGCTGGTTCTTCTGCACAGTGTGCAGGAATGTTTTGAAAGGACGAACAACCTGTGGGAGAGTCACCAAAATGTGAGTGGGAGCAACAAAGGGTCTTGGGGAGGAACTCCAGGGTCACAGGAATCTCACCTTGCTGGCTGGGAAGCTTGGGGATGGGGTCTTCCTCCTGAGGGGGGACAGCCCTCCCTCCTCTGCCTGCTGGGTGTCGTAGCGCTCGTCCACAGCTCTCTTGTAGCTTGGCTTCCTCCTGCGAGACAGCACAGCTCATCACACCTGGCAAACGTTCCTGAGTCCCACAAAGTCATGGCTGAAAAAGGTCATAAACTATCCCAGCATAAAAGAGATTGCACTGTGGTGAGGCACTGGCACAGGTTGCCCAGAGAAGCGGTGGCTGCTCCACTCCAGGAAGTGTTTCAGGCCAGGCTGGACAGGGTTTGAGTAACCTGGGCTACTGGAAGATGTCCCTGCCCATGGCAGGGTGTGGAACTGGATGGGCTTTAAGGTCCTTCCAACATAAACCATTCCATGATTCTGTGATTGTGCATGCACAGGCAGCTAGCCAATAAAAAAAAATTTCTAATGCAATAGAAGATACGAATTAGATCATAAATCAGGCAGGGAAAACTTATTGTTCCACAGTCACAACACTAAGGCCAGTTAACAATATCCCAGTGCTGAACCTGCTCAGAATGGGACCACAGCCCTCCCGAGGCACTTCCCACCAGTGATTCCTTGCACATACCTGGCACTCTGGGGAGGATCCAGGGTTGCCTCCTTCTTGGTCAAGTTGTTTTCTGAAATCAAACAGTTACACAGTGATTCCAGCAGGAACACATCCCCCCCAACACAGGTTTGACAGCAGAGAACAGGTATAACAGCTCACTGAACAGCAGAACCACCTACAGTGAGCTGGGCATGGCAGGACCTTGCTCACACAGAGCCATTCCCAGCAGGAACCTCTGGGCAAAGTGAGGCTCCCAAAGCAGTCTGTGCCCTGCAGCTCACACTAGCACTGCTGTGTTCTGCAACAGGGTTCCACTGGGCCTCCCACAACCCTCCAAGCTCATTACATCCAGCTCCACGTGCTTTCCAGGGTGGAAAGAACTCCAGCACAGAGTTTCCTCGCTGCTAATCGCCTGAACGAATCCTCGCTCATCAAACATTAATTAATCTTTCAGTCTGAGCTCTCAAATTAACCAGACAATCTCTACACCTTCCCAGCCAGCCTCCCAAAGCAGTAACTTCCCAGAGCTCTGCCCCAAACCCCTCTGGAATTACCACTGCTGCTGGGCTCCTGCGGCTGCTCGTGCCTGCTGACTGCGTGGGAGCGAAGGCACATCTGTGGGCTTTGGGAATCCTGTGGGAAAAGCAAAGGGGTTTCAGGACAATTCTCACATGGAAAAGGCCCATTTCTGGTTTGGATCATGGAGTGCTACTGACAGGGCAAGGTCAGTGTTACCAGGGAATGCCAAGCCACCTCTTGGAAAATTCTGGATGCTGCACCATCAGAAGCACAGACATTAACACAAGCATGTGCCACTGAAACCCAAAAAACTCATCATTTATTAAGGCCCAAAGCATTCCAAGCTGTAAATGCGCTACTGGAGCTCTGGCCAGAGCCAGCGTGCTCATTTCCCTGGGTAGTGATGAATGGGGAGCCCAGACACAGCAGACAATGGCTCATTTCCATGATTTATCTTAGTTATGGATACTCATTGCTCCTCGCTACCTCTGCACTTACAGCTCCACTGGGATAATGGGCTGTGCTTCTGGAATTGCTCTGTGCCAGCAGCACAAGCACTACCTCCCCAGCCCACAGTAGTCAAGGCTGCAGCAGGTTGGGAAGGGAAGAAAATAGACTTACAGAGATTTTATCCTCCCCAAATGCTTCTGTGGGGCCTTGCCCCAAGGGCAGGCATGGTGCTAACTTTGGAATGTTGCAATTAAGACTTTCCCTGACCCAGAGTCCCAGAACCAGGAGGCTGTGAATGGGCTCATGACCTCCAAGCTGAGTGCTCTGCCCCTTCTTCACTCACTGCCACAGGGCAGGTTGGCAGAGTCTGGCAGTCCACAGCCAGAGCTCCCCAATTCCCCAGCAAGGTGAATTCCACATATTTTCTTCCCAAATCGACACAAATGCTTTCAATCCCTGCTCAAACCTTACCAGTTTGGAGGGGGTGCAAGGTCCAGGAGGAGGTCTAGAGGAAAAAGAAAGACAAAAGGTGCTGTGCTTAGTAACATCAAGGAAACTGGGAAACCACTTGGGTTTTACACCAAGAATGGCAGGGGGAAAGTCCTGCAAGCGGGATAGTAAGGATAAATGGATATCTGAGAGGATTCTCACCCAGCTTTGACAACAGTTTCCTCATCCTCTGGCACCTCTGCAGAGCTGGAGGCTGTGGGGAAGGAAAAACACACCTGAGCTGTAAGGTAGGGATGCAGGACAAGGATTTGGTGGGATGAAGGACACTCCAGACAGTGCAGAAGTGTTTTCCCTGGCCTAGAGCCAGCGAGGTCACCTGAGCACACCCAGGTTGTCACTGCATGAATGCTTCCGGCAATCCCGGTGCAGGAGAGGTTTCAATTATGGATGAGTTCAGAGCAATATTTCACCAGCTGGAATTAAGTGGGGTTGGGCTTGGCCTTGGCTCATCTGCAGGGCCATTCCTCGGCATTAACTGCAGTCAGAGCCAGAGTGGGAGCAGTGCTCCATAAGATGGCCTTCCAGCCGGCTCTGCCACGGTGAGCTTGAAAGCTTCGGTACAGCTGGAACCTGACAGGAATAGTCATAGAACCATACAATCAAAGAAGGGTTTCACGAGAAGACACTTTAAGGATCATCTCATTCCACTCCCTGTCATGGGCAGGGTCATTTTCCACTAGACCAGGTTGCTCCAACCTGGCACTTCCAGGGATGCGGCAGCCACAGCTTCTGTGGGCAACCTGTGCCAGTACCTCACCAGCACAAAGGGAAGAATTCCTTCTCAGTATCCCAAATTAACTTCCCTTCTTTCAGTTTGAAGCCATTTCTACTTGTTCTGTCATTCCAGTTCCTGATGAAGAGTCCTTCTCTGGCCTCCTTGATTAGTAATTCAGGCAGTGTTAAGCTCCAGCTTGGAGAAGAGCACTCCAGGAGCCTCTGCACAGCCTGTTCCATGCTCCCATTCCAGCTGCCATAGCAGAAAGCACACAGAAAGTGCTGGAAATGTGTCCAGTGCAAGATGTGCTACACACGGGACATGGCAGTCGCTGTCCCCAGGCAAAGAAGGTGCTTTGGGCTTCCAAGCCTTAAATGAGCTCAAGCTTCTTTCCCTCAGTTCAAAAATAACCCAGAGAGCTATAGCCAACCCTTTGCTCTCCTGCACTGGGCAGCAACACTTCCATCCCACAGTGTGGAAGAATGTTTAAATCAGTTTGTCCTTCCCCAAACCTACCTCTGTCACCTACTGTAAAAATGTGGGAGACTTAATTTACAAAGTTCAGCCACAAAATTCCCTTGGAAAAGAGCAGCTCTAGAAGCAGAAGGCTCTAGAACCTGTGAAAAGGCAGGAATCTGTGGTAGCTACTTACTTCCCAGGAAACAGCCAGGGCTTTGGGAAAGCCCACCATCCCCTTGGACCCCCAAACCCTCCTTGGTTTACCAGTAGCCCTCATAGAAACTGGAAAGACCAGTTCCCCAGAGAAGCTCTGGCTGCTGCATCCTAGAAGTGTTCCACACCAGGCTGGACCGGGCTTGGAGCAATCTGGGCTAGTGGAAGGTGTCCCTGCCCATGGGAGGGAGTGGGAATGGATGAGCTTTAAGGTCCCTTCCAACCCAAACCATCCTGCGATTTTATGGAGACATTGAGGCTGTTCTCCAAGGTGATTTACAAGGCTGAATCCACAGTTATCTAGTCCTCTGTGCTCACAGAGGGCTCCAGAAAGCCAGGCAGAACTTCCATGAGAAGCTGCAGCTTGTCTAGCCCGGGAAGCCCCAGACTGAGGAACCAGCCTTGGCACATTGCTTTCCTCAACAGTGGAAAGCAGGATCAGGACAAGACAAAGCAGGAGAGGCACAAAGCAACACACTGGTGAAACCCACTCACCCCCATCATCCATGCAGCTGGAGGACACAGACATCTTTTGAGATGTCTTCCGAGCCGCCTTCCTCTTGCTTGCTGCCCTGGCCATGGATGTGCGGATCATGCTCTCCCTCTTGCTGGCCAGGGAGTACTTCTCTGCCAGGGAGGTCCTGTGGCTCAGGGAGGTGCTGCCCATCAGGCTGCGGCGCACAGAGCGCCGGCTGGGCCGGGAGATGGTCGGGGTAGCAGGGCTGTCCCTCGGGAGCTGGGAGAGCTCCTCAGCTCCACTGTGTTCCCCATGGGAGGCATTCCCTTCCTGTTCTAGCCCAGCCTCTTGGCTCAGGATAATGGTGACATTGGCTGCGTTCATTGTCTTCAGCTCAGGCACTGCCTCAGGGGTAGAGGGAACCACCAGCTCAGTGGATTCAGGAATGTCCTTAGGCGAGTCATTCCCTGAGCTCCGAGGCAGCTCTGCTGACTTTGCTGGGCTCGTCTGTAGAGGCACTGCAGTGCTGGCATCATCAGCTTCCACCCAGAGATCCTGCCCTGCTGCCTGTGTGGCAGGAGGGGTCTCAGGGACCACCGTGGAGCTTTTGGCAGAGGCTGCAGCCTGGGACTGGGTCACACGCTGAGGAGAGGAGGCTGCTGGTGCCTCGGCCCTGCTGAGGTCCAGGGACTCTTTGCTGTGGAGCCGCTGAGATCTTCGCACGGAGGACGAGAGTTTGAGGCCACTGTTCCTCCTCCTGGATAACCTGAGCACGAGAACAGTGTGTTAGATGGGAATGGGAGTTGGGAATAGCACTGAGCCCTTTGGGAACGGAGCCAAAACACCTGGGACAAACCCCCCAAAAGCTCAGGACACACGGAAGTGGCTAATACAAACAGTAATTAACAGACTATAATGACTTCAGGATGGAAAAGATAGCGGGGAACAGAGACACAGGGACATAAACAGAACCGAGTGACAAGTAACAGCACTTTACACAAAAAGCTCTAATTTACAGAGCTCTTGCAGCACGAGGCTAAAAGCATCCCAGGTACGGCTCTTACCGGACCTTTAGCACCGGGAGGACCTTTAGCGCGGGGAGAACCCGGGACACGCTCCGAGGAGGGAATTATCCCCGTAAACCCCTAGCATCGAGTCTGTGCAGTCTCTGGCAAGTTCCCTCCCTTCCCCAGGCCCCGAGAGCAGCCCAAGCAGGAGCCTTCAGCCTCCTCGCGTCCCGCCGCCTCTCACCGCTTCCTGCCCAGCTCCCGGTCCTCCTGCTGCAGGGCCGACAACCTCTTCCTCCGCTGACGGTTCTTCTGCGACGGCGTCTTGGGCATCAGCTCGGGCTCATCACTGTAGTCGCTGCAGGGCAAAGAGAGAACAAGGCATAGGGTCGGCACCGGGAGGGGGGGGGTGATAACGGCCAGGGCCTAGCAGGGCGACGCTCGGTGGGGGACGACAGACCGCGTAC